ACTTAGTTACATCAAGGTGCTAAGGAACTGTTAAGAACCCAGGATGCAAGGTCTTAAATAACTCCAAAAACCTGGTTACTCTAAAACCAAAGTAGTTAGTGTTTATACATCACATGTATACTTTGTTAATTTAATGAATGTCTAGAAATTATGACCTTCCGGCCTAGATATGTTTCATAAACTTTTGTCAGATTTGTAATAAACCTGGTTCCGCATCTTCAAGAATTCTATGAAACATTGCTGTCCGGAATGGTTACTATGGTTACTTTCTTTTTTTTCTCTCTTTTTTTTTTTAGGTGGGGATCTTCATTATCATCTGTCGCAACACGGAGTGTTTTCAGAAAAACAAGTGCAATTCTATGCTGCAGAAATCATCCTGGGCTTAGAGCACATGCACAACAGATTTGTAGTGTATCGGGACCTAAAACCTGCCAATATCCTATTAGATGAACATGGCCATGTCCGAATCTCAGATTTAGGACTCGCATGTGACTTCTCAAAGAAGAAACCACATGCAAGTGTTGGAACTCACGGTTACATGGCGCCCGAGGTGCTTTCGAAAGGAACAGCGTATGATTCTAGTGCGGATTGGTTTTCATTTGGATGTATGCTTTATAAATTATTAAAAGGGTAAGAAATATGCGATATCTTTGTCAAAATCAAATTTGTAAATATATCAATTTTATCAAAAAAATTTCAATATGATGGGAACTACGAATTTCGCAAGAGTAATTTGCAAAACTTTGTAGTAAACAGTTCTCTGGAGTCATTAAGATATGAAGTCACAATGGCTTTCACAATAATTGTTTCTAGGAATATCTGTAAGCCATCAAATTTCAAGGAAAATATAAGTACAGTATGTCATACCTTGGCATTAACTCGTGCATAAGGTTCCTATAGTCCTGGAGTTGTTTATCTAATCAGCACTGGTAACTAGTCTCAAAGATGTTGAATATACATGTATAAATCCAGACAAGCTACATTGGATTGCTGTAATCTAAGTGAAAGTTGAAAAACATCCATCCCAATGCTATTGTGGACGGAGAAAGTACTACTGGTGATTACAATAATGCTGAGAAGAAATATTTCCACTGTCTGGAATGTTGAAATAAATGCTGGGCGAATGCCTGTCATTGTTGGATGCGTTACTGATTATTCGTTCAATGATTTTCAGCTTGAATGCATGTTATTGATAATTCATTCTTGACCAGATCTTGAAAATGAGAATATGGTAACAATAATGTGTATTTTTTTTTTTGTAATAAGCAATTTAAATGTTGAATGACAAATTGAAGAAGATTTTTGATTTAAACCCCAGCCCAGATCTAGAAGTTATTAAAGTCTAGAACCCTTTGACGTGTAGGCCCCGATTGAAACCATGGTCCTGTTAAAGAGTAGGCCCAGGTTGATGGAAATTTGTTTCCAGTTTGATTGAAATCTTAACCTCATAATGCATGACCAATTTGATAATTGAAATCAAGGCAGAAGTTGGCTAAAATTTAGTCTGGAGTTTAAGTTTGACTGAAATCTCAACCCTGTTTGATTGAAGTCTATACCTAGATCTGCATGTTGATTGAAATCTGAATCTGGGCCCCATTTCATTGACATCTAGAATTCTGGGACCTGTTTAATTTCTAGACCTAGCCTATAGGTTGATTGAAATCCAGGCCCAGGTTGACTAGTATATTAAAGTATATTCTTAGTCAAGTTGATTCTAGAAGCATGTCTATGGAGAAAGGATGTGTTATTTATTGACTTATTACAGACATTTGTAATTGATAAGTTACATTTTAAAGTAATACACAACAGTTATTGTAACGCGTTTCTTTTGGTCTCTACATAGAGGCCTGAAATTTAACAAAGTCTAAATCAAAGTTTGCGGAAGCACCTCCACCCTATCCTACCTACAAAAAGCTAGAAGCAATAGGAATATTATTAGATACATTGTTTGTTTGTTATAAAAAGCTGGGTGTGTGCTATATTTCCCATTTCTATGAATGGGGAGGATGTGCAAATTTGGTTTAGAGGGTGGTGGATATTGGGGATAATATAGTACATCTCAGAACAGGTCATGTTTTGATTTCTTCCATACAGTCACAGCCCTTTCAGGCAGCACAAGACGAAGGACAAACATGAAATTGACAGAATGACGTTGACAATGGTAAGACAATCTTGAATGCACCTTTCCGATAAGTTATGCCCTCTAACGACTAAATGCCGCTGTAACGTGTCAATGAAGTAGATGAGTGAAAGCAGTGTCGTTTGCTGTGTAGTCATTTGTCATTTAGAGTATAGAAAATAAATCAATGAATGATAGACGACTACAACGAATGATGAATAACGTTTCTTCCACTCGTCTACATAACAGCAATGCTTCAGCGCTAGAAAGCATGACATATAGGACAGGTGTATTTCACTCATTTATAATGCCATTCTTTCACTGGAATTTGCGACTTTCTGTACTGTGTACCTGGGAGGTGGGTGATATTCAGGTTTTTTCTTCCTCTACCTCCAGTAATTTTTTTTTTAAAGTAAACTCTTATTTGAGTTTCATTATTATTGACTCCTTGCAGTTAATGTATCCCATTTTTGAAATTGTTTTTGACGACTGCCCACCATATTGGATTTATGATCACTATTACATGCTTGTACATTTCCTTACCCAATTGATCTTGAATTTAGCTTTTCAAACTTTCCCACTTAAGATAACATGCTTAAGGATAGCATGCTTAATCAAGTTAACATGCTTACTCAAGATAACATGCTTACTCAAGATAACATGCTTAATCGAGATAACATGCTTACTCAAGATAACATGCTTAAAAATCATATGAACTACTGATTCAATACGCCACAATTGAGTTAGCAAAATGTTTTCATGTGTGGGTCATAAATACCATAATGGTTGAGGGAGAACACTGTACATGTAGTTACACACACATACATACATTGAGGTAAGTGAGCTTCGTCTATTATTAAAATGTTATGTATTTTCTACATCCAAAAGAGAAAATGTTGAATTCATGGAACTAGCCATAAAATGATGACGAGTTGAAAATTCAAAAATGTCTACAGTCTGATTAAATCAGTGCCATATTGAATGTTCATTAGGATGGTCAGATGACGTGATTAATGTTCTGAATATTAAAATATTAATATTATTGTATTATCAACAATATTAGTTTCTCAATTATAATCAATCCTGAAAGGATTAGCTTTTCTGTTGGTTGGACCAGATCGTGAGATGAATTACGGTAACAGGTGCGCAACACTACACATGCAAAATACAGTTGAGATAGCATCGTCAAAGTACACTGGAAGAGACGCTATCTACAGGAGCTCACTATGATTTGATCAATGCGTAAAATGTTTAAAAAATCTGTTAGTGCTATTTTCCTGTAGAGGTATACAAATTGAAATTGTGTATCAAAAAATCACAAACATAATGCTAATTAAAAATATAAATTTAATAATTGAAATAAATGTACATATACTGTAAAAGCTACATCCTCAATAGAAGTACAATGTAGCATCCATTCGTTTTGAACAACGGAGAACCAGAAATTCACCATTTCTCATGTGTGTATGCTCTAATAGTAACCACTTTCCCTCTGTTGCATTCTATCATAGAAGTCATGGCTTCTGATACAGAAATTCCAGTTCGTCAGCTTTTTAATTTGATATAAAATAGTTTAGACGATAACAAATTTGTATCCACTAAATTATCAATCAACCTGAAAGTAATTTAATATCAAATTATTTTTAATGTTTGTAATTAACACAATTTTAATTTTAATTTTGTAATTGACACAAAGTAGGCTCCCTGGTCACCATATGTATTGCAGATGTTGTCTGTGGCTGTTGTATTCTGAACACTCTGTGACTAAAGACTAAATTTTTAGTTATAACAGCATGTGGCTGACCCCGCTCAGATCTATTGTACATTTTTTGAATGGATCTATAAACCCAGTTGGATGACTCGAGAGAGTACTTTTATGTTATAACACAACTCTCTCATCATGATACATTTCACACAAGTCTGTTGGTCATACCAAACACTGCCTTCGCAATGGTTTCTGTATCTGAATGAAATCAAGTGGATGAAAGACCTTTATCAAGAATGTCATCAGTGACCTTATGGCAAATTTGTATGAAGAATATGAAATAATTCATAAAAATTAATCTTTGAAGAATATGGAATTGGAAAACACAGACCTGACGCTGTCCTATTGGCTAACCAACTCTGTCACTGATGATTATTACCTTCAAACATTACGGTGTTTGGCTTTTGTTGACTCCAGTTGCAGACAATACTTTTTACCCAAGTTATCTACTGCTCTAGTTATGTTTGCTGGGAGAAACATTGATGAATATTATCAGCTACACTGGAATCTCGATCATAGTCCACTCACTATATGCTGCTCCACTAATGCCTAGGTACGATGCTAGTAATATCTCATGCCAGTTATTGGCCATAGAGATTTGATTGAAATCATCTGAGATCATGTGATTATGTGCAGCTTGGAATCAATACTTTTATTTTATGAGATATTTATGGTATGCCATAGTGTGCATGACATTTCAGAAATGAAATATACTAGCACCGTACCTAGGCATCGGGTGAAGTGGCTATATCGAGGATAACATCACATAGATTCAAGGCTATTCGTTAGCTTACTGTTACAATGACTTACCTGAGATTATTATTAGTTTTCTTTGTGGAATCTTGTTCAATGATAATCGCTGCATAAACTCATTCTGCTTCCTAACATATACTTTTTTTATTTTGCTGTGATCATTACTGGATAATAAGCTGGCGACAATTTCAATCATGTTCTCTCTTATGAACTTCTTTTGCTTTATAGGATGTAGAATTTCCTGACTCTATGTCGCAAGAAATGAGGGGTTTGTTAGAAGGGTTGCTTAGAAGGGATGTACCTGAAAGACTGGGTTGTCGGGGAAGGGGGTAAGTGTAAATGTTCATGTTTTCTAAATGTTTCATAAAGTATGCCATATGTTTCTGTGTGTATTGTCATATTTGTGCAAGGTTTTAATCATTTTGCTATGTTTATCACATTAGGGCAAACCTTGCCCTGACGTTATAAAACATAGCAAAACAATTGAAACCTTGCCCTAATGTGATAAAACATAAAAACAATTAAAAACATAGCAAAACAATTAAAACCTTGCCCTAATGTGATAAAACATAGCAAAACAATTAAAACCTTGCCCTTATCTGATAAAACATAGCAAAACAATTAAAACCTTACCCTAATGTGATAAAACATAGCGAAACATTTAAAAACATAGCAAAACAATTAAAACCTTGCCCTAATGTGATAAAACATAGCAAAACAATTAAAACCTTACCCTAATGTGATAAAACACAGCAAAACAATTAAAAACATAGCAAAACAATTAAAACCTTGCCCTAATGTGATAAAACATAGCAAAACAATTGAAACCTTGCCCTGACGTTATAAAACATAGCAAAACAATTAAAACCTTGTCCTGATGTTATAAAACAGCAAAACAATTAAAAACATAGCAAAACAATTAAAACCTTGCCTTAATGTGATAAAACATAGCAAAACAATTAAAACCTTGCCCTTATCTGATAAAACATAGCAAAACAATTAAAACCTTGCCCTGACGTTATAAAAACATAGCAAAACAAATAATTTATCACATTAGGGCAAGGTTTTAATTGTTTTGCTATGTTTTATCACATGGCAAGGTTTCAATTGTTTTGCTATGTTTTATTATAGGGCAAGGTTTTAATCATTTTGCTATGTTTATCAGATAAATGCAATGTTTTAATCATTTTGCTATGTTTTATAACATCGGGCATGGTTTAATCATTTTGCTATGTTTATCAGATAAGGGCAAGGTTTTAATTGTTTTGCTATGTTTTATCACATTAGGGCAAGGTTTCAATTGTTTTGCTGTTTATCAGATAAGGGCAAGGTTTTAATTGTTTTGCTATGTTTTATCATCGGGCAAGGTTTTAATTGTTTTGCTATGTTTTATCATCAGGCATGGTTTAATTGTTTTGCTATGTTTATCAGATAAGGGCAAGGTTTTAGTTGTTTTGCTATGTTTTATCATAGGGCAATGTTTTAATCATTTTGCTATGTTTATCAGATAAGGGCAAGGTTTCAATTGTTTTGCGATGTTTTATCACATTAGGGCAAGGTTTCAATTGTTTTGCGATGTTTTATCACATTAGGGTAAGGTTTTAATTTGCTATGTTTATCAAATAAGGGCAATGTTTTAATTGTTTTGCTATGTTTATCAGATAAGGGCAAGGTTTTAATTGTTTTGCTATGTTTATCAGATAAGGGCAAGGTTTTAATTGTTTTGCTATGTTTATCAGATAAGGGCAAGGTTTTAATTGTTTTGCTATGTTTTATCACATTAGGGCAAGGTTTCAATTGTTTTGCTATGTTTTATTATAGGGCAATGTTTTAATCATTTTGCTATGTTTATCAGATAAGGGCAAGGTTTCAATTGTTTTGCGATGTTTTATCACATTAGGGCAAGATTTCAATTGTTTTGCGATGTTTTATCACATTAGGGTAAGGTTTTAATTGTTTTGCTATGTTTTATCAGATAAGGGCAAGGTTTTAATTGTTTTGCTATGTTTATCAGATAAGGGCAAGGTTTTAATTGTTTTGCTATGTTTATCAGATAAGGGCAAGGTTTCAATTGTTTTGCGATGTTTTATCACATTAGGGTAAGGTTTTAATTGTTTTGCTATGTTTATCAGATAAGGGCGAGGTTTCAATTGTTTTGCTATGTTTTATAACGTCAGGGCAAGGTTTCAATTGTTTTGCTATGTTTTATCACATTAGGGCAAGGTTTCTATTGTTTTGCTATGTTTTATAACATTAGGACAAGGTTTTAATTGTTTTGCTATGTTTTATAACGTCAGGACAAGGTTTCAATTGTTTTGCTATGTTTTATCACATTAGGGCGAGGTTTTAATTGTTTTGCTATGTTTTATCACATCAAAGCTGGGTTTAAATCGTTTTGCTATGTTTTATCACACTAGGGCAAGGTTTTAATCGTTTTGCTATGTTTTATCACATTAGGGCGAGGTTTTAATCGTTTTGCTATGTTTTATCACATCAAAGCTGGGTTTTAATTGTTTTGCTATGTTTTATCACATCAAAGCTGGGTTTTAATTGTTTTGCTATGTTTTATCACATTAGGGCAAGGTTTTGCTATGTTTTATCACATTATGGCAAGGTTTTAATTGTTTTGCTATGTTTTATCACATCAAAGCTGGATTTTAATCGTTTTGCTATGTTTTATCACATTAGGGCAAGGTTTTAATCATTTTGCTATGTTTTATCACATCAAAGCTGGGTTTTAATCAATTTGTTATTTAATTGTTTAATTGTTTAAGGTCTTAATCTGATCTTTTATATTAGGGCAAGTGAAGTAAAAGAACATCCATTTTTCAAAGGTATTGACTGGCAACAAGTACACTTACAAAAGGTAGGCCATCTAATAAAAGATCCAATACGGTTTTTTAAAAAAAGTTATTATTTTTTAATAATCTTGTTTGATGATGCATGTTGTAAATCAAACTGAATTAAGATTTATCATATTCTAAAAATGTTGCTTTTCTTTTGATGTTGGAAACAGAAAAAAACACTAAAAAACATGCAAATGTTCCAACCAAAATACTAAGTGGTACTTGTGTATTTCATTGTTTCATCAAAGAAACATGTTTTTTTTTTAGTTTATTTATAATCATAATCCAATTTTTAATCATGAATATGCAGTTGTGACAATATTAAATTCTGTGTTCTCATTCTATGGCAAAATTTCAATATTGGGAATTAGCAGATTTTGAAAACAGTTATAAAAGTTGTCAATGTTTGTAGTAAACTGATTTTATACTCCTTAATATATTTGGTTATATATTTTAAAACTTTTGACATTCAAAACATTATTGGTTTATCATCAATAAACTTTGACCTTTGATCTATTCACACATGGATATTTACCAGAAAAAGAAAAAAAAACAGTTTATCAAAAAGTGAATTTTTATAATAATTAGAATTCTAAACGACTTAAATGAGTTGTTATTTTTAATTTTGTAGTATCCTCCACCATTGATCCCTCCCCGAGGGGAAGTGAATGCTGCTGATGCCTTTGATATTGGTTCATTTGATGAGGAGGATACAAAGGGTATAAAGGTAAAGATAAAATCATCCTAACTGCACTAGTATTCATCTTAAAATCATGGCAGATAATCTCCACATTGCAAGTGTTTCTGATAGCTAAGGATAAAACCGCCAGCATAGGGAAAAAGGTCGTAACCCTGAATTAGCAATCCAGGCAGAGTCATCACGTACTGCATTTGTATGTCTTGTTAAATAACTGGGAAGTCATTCACTTTTTATAGTAACGTTTTTTTTTGTGCTTGAGTAGTATTGAATCAGTAATTAATGTTTTTATTTTATTTTTTTGACTGTTGAAAGCACATTTCCATTGTGGGCACAGCTGGTGTGTTGTTGTAATTCATTACATGTGTCAGTTTATACTCCTACTCATAGGTACATTGAGAGTTGTGTCAAGTAGATACAACAATTGTGAACTGAATTATTTACCTGCTTTGACAGCATACTATCTATTTCATTTGTAATCGTATTGTTCCTTATTGTACTGCAATTTCTTTGTAATCATATGGTTTCTGACCATACTTCACCAGTAAGTTTATAGTTTTTGTGAAAGAAATAATTTCTACTAATTCAATTTTTTTTTAATAATAATTCTGAATTTTGACTGCCATAAAAGTGAATCATATTACATTGAGCATGTGTGATGTTGCATGGTCTTGATATTATCAATAGATGTATAGGCCACCTAACATGATATATTACCCTGAGTTTGTTAAATCATTAATGTTCATGTCGGTTATACCACAAAGCATACATGTATGTAACACAGTTTTATTTATTACAGGAAGATTGTTAGGCCAGAATTTTTTTATTCCTTGTTTCTCAAGTTTTTATAAGACAATTTTTTTGAGGAGGGGGAAAAAAAAAAATAATTTTTTCCCTCATTAGATTTGTGTGATTCTCAAAGAATTGTAAGTGAGATCATTGATCAAGAGAAGAAATGAAATAAAATTTTATTCCATGTATAACATTGTTTCTCATCTGCGCGAGACTTCGGTACTTTGATCATGATACTCCCACGAAAATGCGACTTGGATTTGTTATGCGGCGGGCGGTAAAAAAAATGAAGATAAAAATAATATTTTTTTAGCATTTCTTTGCGCTTACAAGTCTTTGCACGAGAAATTATGCTGAAATAAAATTTTATTTTTTATTTAATTTTCACCTCCTGTTCATTCGGCGGGTTCGCGAAACAAGTATAATAAAAGTCTGGCCTTAGAGACATCAGCTGCTTTTTGGCTGATTGTTTTCATATTTCTTAGTTCTATTTAATAATAAACTAAAATGACCTACAAAATGAATATGTGCATTGTATGGTAAGCACATGTACACAACAAATGTTCAGCTGTAAATTCAATTTGTGTTGAACAAAAATTCATTTCCTGTCATATTTGCATGCAATTAATATATGCTATTTGTTAGCTCTGCTGAGTTGGAGCTGTTCATTAAATGATTGTGTGTCATTGTCCGTTCACCAACAATTGCTAACAGTTTTTGACTTCTTCTTGAAAACTACCAGCTTTGATACTTGGTATACAGATAATTTGGGGAGACCTCTGTCAGATTTGTCCATTTGCATAATAATTACCTAATTTCTACCTAATACTTAAAAACCAATTATTGCATTTTCAATGAGAATTGGTATATGAAGTGCTAAAGACCTGATTTTATTGAAAATTGGTTCATAGATGCTCCAGGGTAATTAACAGACATGATTACATGTAGTTTAATGATCTAAAACTTGCATATTGATTATTTAATTATTATGAGCCAATTTCTGATATCTCAAAAAATCAGATTTAAATTAAACTTGTGGTAGAGGTGCTCTAGAATAAACTTAGACTGAAATCCACAGATGTAAAATCATATTTCTGTTCTTGTAAGTATTATAAACTTCAACAATGTGGATAACATTGTTTTCACATTGTGCATCTCAAATAGCAGACAAAATTAGTTGCTAAGCTTCTTGTTTGAAAAGTAAATTTTGAATTGATTTTTTTAATATGTCTCCAATACTCTGAAGCACACAGTTCATTCTAAGCTGTCTTTGGTTACCCTATGGATCTGCTGTTTACAGTGCCCTCAAATGTCTATTAGCAAGGATTTTTTTTAAACAAGGGAACAGATGTGCAACGCCCTCAGGCCATGGCCATAGTAGCAGGGTAGCAGATCCTCTCGCAACCATAAAATTTTGATTGATCAGGGATCACACGTGGCCCCAGTCTACAACTGTGACCTGTCTAATCGTAATTTTTGCCCCAAGGAAGCCATAGAATGCTCCTTTTAACTTTAGAATTATCCACTTGGTGGCGCAGCTTATGCATTTTTTTTCCATAAAAACCCCTGTATTAGGATCATGCTTGGCATCTGTGGTTTTAAACTATGTTGCATTACCACTTCGCAGAGTATATCCATCCACCCTTTTGTAGAAAAAAAAAGTAGCAGAATTAGATCTAGTTTCTGTCATGACATTAGCCATTAATTTGTTTTCCTCCGATCATGTTGTAAAGAATGACAAAGTTGTCACCCATAGAATCTACACCTGAGAATCATTTAAGAAGTAAACAATACAAATTATTTTTTCAGCTTACAGAGGCTGATCAAGAACTTTACAAAAATTTCCCACTGGTGATATCTGAAAGATGGCAACAAGAAATTGCGGAGACTGTGTATGAAGCCATTAATCATGCTACAGACACTGCTGAAGCTAAAAAGAAGTCAAAGAAAAACATGCAACCTGACGAGGGAGGCAAGTCTTTATGCTTCATTGTTTGTTTTTTAACAAATTTTGTTTTTGTAGGTCCTTTGTTTCAACTGGTGACCAGGTGTTTACCCATAGCACCAGGAAATTATCTTGGAGATGAACTTGAAATTCAGCAGTGTTATACATGTATATGGATTGTTAGTTTGTTTATTATAATGTTAATTAGTGCAGCCTCTAAGCCAATGTGACATTCCACTGGTGCACAAAAATCTGCTGTTATACAGCTAGTTATGCTATTTCATTGGCACGTAATTAATGCAACAGAAAATCATATATTTATATAATGATCTTTGAAAAACATCTTACTATATTCTGGAGAATTTGTAATATTGTAAAATAAAATTAACATTGTACATTGTACATAGTAAATTAGGGGCTACAGAATTTTTGTTTGTGCTTTTGTGCAATTTTATATTTTTTTTGAAGACCTCCCCAGTGTCAACAAGCTGAGTCAATTTGAATTTTGGGGATTACATTTTGATTCAGGATCCCTACAAAATTATTAAAATAGTTAATAAATTAATTAATTTATAAATTAGTTTCAGTGCCACCAAATGCCCTGTGTCAAGATTAGAAAACACACTTATTTCGAAAAACAAAGTACTTCATCTAATTGACTTTAGGTGGCGCTGTTTACAAAAATGTGTTATCTTGTTTCAACCTCAGTCGTGCAAAGATTGCTGTCGCATTGCTGAAACTAGACTAAACATAATGTGTCCAACATTTAAATAATCTTAAATATGAACAATCTGAAAGTTAAGAATAAAATGTGTTTGTTTGTGTTTTGTGATTTTTTTCAGAATATGCATTGGGTAAAGATTGTATTATGCATGGGCAAATGCTAAAATTAGGAGGTCCATTCTTGACTGCATGGCAAAAGAGGTATTTCTATCTTTTTCCAAATCGGTTGGAATGGCAAGGAGAAGGAGAAAAGGGGGTAAGTTTTTTACAAGAATCATTCTCTAATCATTAATTTGACACTTGTGATCATTGATGTACATAATAAATATATTTTTTACATTTACATCAAAAAGACTTTTACATGTAAACTACTGAAATATGTGTTTGTATCTCATAATCTCGGTATTGATGATACTCACTATCTTAAATCTTTTAATACCAACGTCAACTTTCCCAAATTCACCCTGAATAAGTCATTCAGTGTTGAAGTGTGATCGAAACCTAAAGGCAATATATTTATAAGTAATCAAGGTTGACGTCAGTAAACTTGTAAGTTTTGTATTGATACTACTCTGGTGGTACTCACGAGTGTCTGCTTACGTCAACCTCACATAAAATATTGCTTGTTTCTACACACAAAATAGTGAAACGATGTAGTGTTGACAGTAGAACTATTGCATAAATAACTCTGAATAAAAAAATATTATAGTGTGTGTCTTGTATGCTAATTTTGCCACAGTTTTTTTTTTTTCATGTTATTACCTTGCCTGTGTTGTGTGGTGACTATGCTCATTCATGGTATTTGCTTGAATTTGCTGCAATTTATTCAAAAATTTCAACTTTTGTTTTTATATGTGTGAGCTTGGCAGAATAAAACTACTGAGCATTTTATTGCACATATATGCAATGTATTATGGAAAATAACATCCCATTTTTAATTGCCCTGGAAATTCACTAAATTATATTTCAAGTTTGTGAAATGTCTAAAAATTTAAATTTTATCTTGAGTACTAGTACATTTTAAATACAGATATTTTTTGTGTCTTCATAATTTATGTGGGTTAATCTTCATTTCAGTTGCAGCTAAAAGCTGTGGCTTCCTTGCTGGAATCTTGTTGAATCTAGTCACATTATCACTTGTAAAACTTATAATTTGTTAAGTGCATTTTTTGGACAGTTTGACAATCTATTCAAATTGAATGACAATTTTAGTAGTATTTCTTTTGAGCTTGTCTCTATTGTTCTAACAGTTTGCTTTGATAGCGGACAGTTTTCGCTCGACATGCTTAGTCAACATGCTTAGTCAACATGCTTAGTCAACATGCTTAGTCAACATGCCTTGTCAACATGCTTAGTCAACATGCCTTGTCAACATGCTTAGTCAACATGCTTAGTCAGCATGCTTAGTCAACATGCTTAGTCAACATGCTTAGTCAACATGCCTTGTCAACATGCTTAGTCAACATGCCTTGTCAACATGCTTAGTCAACATGCTTAATCAGCATGCTTAGTCAGCATGCTTAGTCAGCATGCTTAGTCAGCATGCTTAGTCAGCATGCTTTGTCAGCATGCTTTGTCAGCATGCTTTGTCAGCATGCTTTGTCAGCATGCTTAGTCAGCATGCTTAGTCAACATGCTTAGTCAACATGCTTAGTCAACATGCTTTGTCAGCATTTACAGAAAGTATTGTTTTCTTTGTTTCAAACAGTCCCTGCTCACTAGTTTTTTTTCTTCTCAGCAATGCCATTTTAATAGTACTGTGAAATCTGTATTTAAAACCACTGCTTCTATTAAAATGGTACAATGCAACTGAGGGGATACAGCTTCTATTAGAGCATCTACACATACAAGAGATGATGAATTTTTGGTTCTCATTTATTCAAAAATAATGGGTGTGACTTCTATTAGGGATGCGGCGTCTAATACAGATTTTACGGTTAAGGGAAAAGTTTTTCAAAACGGGAGTGTTGTCACATGATTCAAGTGGAAAGTACAACTTTTCCCTCACTATTTAAACATTTTTTGGAGTTGCAACACACTGAATTCAAAACATAGATTTTCTGTTTGGTGAGCTGTGTAGATGCATGATTGATCTACTGAATAAGTGGTTGAAAGCAACCCTGTAGTTCACTATGATACGTACATGAATCAGATGCGAGCATTGCTGATTGTCCTTCAATAGTTATTTTTAAACTTTGAAAACTTTTATTTTTTTTTATTTTTTCATATCATGTATATGATCATGTATATCATGCAGTGCACATCGCTAAAGAAAATGTTATCATTATTATTATGTAATAATACAAAAGTACTAGAATCTCAACCTTAACAGTCATCTCATAACTATCGGTAAATACTTGTCATGGTGTGCATTGACCTAATAAACACCCTGTTTTTGCCATGGTATTTGTGTTTCGCCATACCCCCCCCTCCCAACAAGTAACTAAAATAAACTTTCTGCAAATTTAAATACATAATTGAACTTCTAACCTATTTATTATGTTAGTTTCTCTTTTAAGTCAATATGGGTTGTTTCCATGGCAACCATTCAAAATGTAAATTAAACCTCTTCTTTGAATGAGATGTGATACTGTAAAATGACTAATTTTCACTGGATTTAAATTTCACTGATTTACCATTTCAGGCATATTCAGTGGGTTTTAAATTCACGGTTTTATCATTCAGATAATGTGTTCTATGCTATATTTTACATATTCACTGGGTTTTAATTTGGCGCATTTTCTAGTCAGCGAAATAAGCCAAACTAAAACCAAAACCCAATGAATAATTAACCTTTTGGGGTCCATCTTCACATCACCATCCTTTAGCTTTAGTTTGATGTACTGTATTACCTCTATTAGAAGCATGTCTCTAATAGAAGCACATATGCAATTGCAAAAAAAATTGAATTGGCTGTGTACTAAATCAATAAAATATTACTTATTTGACCATAGAAAAAATCTACGTATGCACTAGTAATAGAGCCAATACAGTAGATGATTTAGTGTTACATTAACTACATGTTTAAAGGCAGTGCCCTTGAGAACAACTTGTGTGTGCAAGACAGTGCTCTATGGAGCTAATTGTGGATGCAAGACATCACCCTTGAGGCAGTAGGTGAACTTGAGACAACAACTTCTCAAATATGATGAATATGAGACATTGACCTCTAGAGGTAGTACCGGTAGGTCAACCGAGACAGCACCCTCTAGAGGCAGTATGTGAACTTGTGACAGCACCCTCTAGAGGCAGTATGTGAACTTGTGACAGCACTTTCTGGAGGCAGTATGTTGGCTGGTTCCCGCCTCAAATGTCATGGTGCACCAAGCCACAAGAGGCTGGTAAATAGTAATGGTTCCGGCATTCTCATTGGTCCACCACGTTTTCATTTTTTGTTCTATTTCCCTTGGTTACCTGACTTGGTTTATGTTCATGTTTTTCTCGCAACAGTTTCACAAATATAAAAAAAAAAAAATTTCATTTGTTACCCCCTACTGCCTATAAATAGCGAGAAATGCAAGAACTATCTCAAATATCAAGTCTAAGCAGTCACTTAGTAACATGAATCCAGAGACGAAATTCTGGCCCAGTGGAACAATATGGCGATTACTTGTTACTTATTTGCCATTCACAATGGACGCCAGGAATCAGCGAAGCGCCCTCTAGAGTGTGTGTACATGTTTGTAAATTTCATTTCATGAGGGATTTGTTAATGTCACCATTGAACCTTTCACCACCATTGTAGACTTTTGAGGATTTTGAAGTCTCCTTTTTTTCCATAAAAATTGCTCAAAAATTCCTCAAAAATTTGAAATTTATGACAAAAATCTATTATGACGTGTTGTGTATTTGACTAAAAAAAATACTTTCTATTCAAAGAAAATTATTGAACATTTGCACCAGCATATTTGCTGGAAATGAAGTGGTTGTGAAAGGGTTAATATCATGTTCATCTCTTCTCATCGCTTTCTCTTCCTCACTACAGAATATTTTAACAATGGAGCAAGTGATGTCCGTGGATGAGACCACGATAAAAAGCTTCAAATGCATTCAGTTAAAGGTGAAAGGAGGGAAACAATTTGTGCTTAGGACAGAGGTGAGACACTTAACATGCACAATAAGTAGATAAAAGAAAACGTGTATAACCATATATCTCTTACCCCTCACAGAGTACCAGTATTTTGACAATGGATAAGGTAACTGGTATTGAAGAAATCCCGATACGAGAGCATAAAAATTGCATAAAGATTCGAGTTGAGCATGCAACCAAAAATAAACGAGGTCAAGTAGTACTTCGACCAGAGGTATGAGTTGTGTTTGCATGGTTGTCATTTGACAATAATGGTTTGCAGTTTGACAAAAATAAAATTATTTCCAAAAATGCATTGCTTTGTTCATGCTTTAGCTATGCTAATAGTACTAACATCAAGCTGAACTAACAACTTATGTGAAATTTTACATAAATCTTAATTTTCATCTGCTATATTTTTTCATTACATATGCATAACATTTTAAAAAGTTGCTTGAATTTTATAGGATTTCTTGATGAAATTTATTGAAATTGTTACAACCTGTTGTAGGATCCTATTTGCATGATTAATGAGATACACCTATTTATTCAGTCTATGACAATGAACACAAAAGTCTTTTATTTTGAACATGAGCAGAAACGATAGAAACAAGTTATACTTAAAAATTTGAATAATTTCCAGGATGAATGCCCACTAAAAAAAAAAAATATTTTCTCAGTGAAAGATTCCATCAAATAAGTGACAAAGAGCAAATGAAAATAACAAAATAAACAAAAATGAACAGGTTTTCTGTTTTTAATGTTTTACAGGCAGTTAGTTAGCATGTTGAATTTGAATAACCACACCTCCATTAAGCCTGGAGACCAGGACCAGTATATTAATTATCACTCATATATGTAATGCTGTCTCACGAATAAAAATGCAAAATAATGCAACATCTCGCATTCATCATGTCTTTATTATTAATTGTTAAACTTATAATGATAATAATTAAAATTTGTTTTGAAGTATTGTGATGGAAATGCACTGTTTTGATTTGAGGGATGAATGTTCCATTTTTAATCTACTCCACCGTAATATCGATTAGATGGTTTTAATGAGCTCTGTTTTACCATACTCTCATGATTACGTGATAATCAAAATACAACCAAAACAAAAACACATACAGATGTGTTTCAATCTAGCATTCACTGTATTTGCTCTTTTAACCCAAAAATTGTATTTATTGTATACTGCATTATCAAAATATGATATGGCGTGCTTATGCTACTAATAAAGTAATCTGATTAAACTGAGATTCAAGTAGAGGCATGTACAGCCAATCAAATGATGTATTAGCTTTATTAGTCCGAGTACTTGGTATATGCGCTACAGTATGCATGCCTACTAACTTACTAATGTCAGCTTTGTTAATGTACAAAACAGTTTGATTACTATCATAATGTGTGATATCTTGGCATGATTTTTGACAACCATCTGTATATAACAACTCATGTCTGTCTTGTATGTGAATCAGCATATTTCAACTACGTAGAGTATCTAAAATCAGAAAATATCCGTCAAAACTACTAAATTTCTCATTTATGCACTGATCAGTTTCCGACTTGATTACTGTAATGATTTATTGTATGATTTCTGGGGTGCATATCTCTGTTACAGGGTGTCAACAATTCAGCAGCAACGCAATTTAAAATTTTGATGAGAAAAATCTATGATCACATCACTCTCGATATAATTATCCTACATTGGCTTCCTGTCAAATACAAGATTAAATTTAAAAATTTGATTTGTAGTGTTTAAAGCACTGTATGGTAAATCACCATGGTAAATTGGTGGAATGTTGAAACCATACATGCTACCAATGTCTTAGCTCTTCTACCATGTATTCGCTTGAGGTATCTAGATCCAGATTGGTAACCTGTGACAATAGTGTTTTTTCTTTGTGCATATTTGAAATTCTTTCCCAAAGAACATAGAAACGTCTCAAATACAGTCAATTTCAGGGCAGCTCTAAAAAATATTTTGGTCAGGAGTTTAATCTGTGATTGGATGTGATCATGTTGTTTAAATAGTGTTCATTTTGTTTAAGGTCAAATAGTTGGTATTTTTTTATTCTCATGAACTCTTGGTTAATCTATATTGTAAAAAGTGCAATATAATGAATAAATTAATATTATTATTACTAAGTTAAGTAATTATTACTAAGTTTAATACAAAATGTAATACAGTATACAATAAAGGCAATTTAATGTCACTCCTATTGGAGATGTGCTTCTAATAGACCAAACATCATATAATTTTATCTGTTAACTAAATTAAATTTTGTTGACAATCATTTTTCATTTGTATCAGAAACAAGAGAATTCAAATGTGGCAGATAATGAGAAACATCACATATTGAGCTATTAAATCCCTCCAATTTGGGTGGATATTTTGGCTTTGACATTCTGGATAAGGCTAATAAACATCGATCCCAACATTATTTGGCACTTCAATCATACAGTAAATAAATTTTATTCTCATGAAAAGGGAACAAATAAATATATCCTCTTATTATTATTATTTATGATATTATTTTTGTGCTGACCATATTACATGGGAATAAGATTCAGAAAGGGTTTTACTTCTGTCATTTTCGTTATTGATATCATTTTTTTGTGTTTTGTGTATTTTCAGAGTGATCCTGAATTTGTTCAGTGGTTTAAAGAGATCAAAGAAGCATTCTTAGAAGCCCAGCGTATGCTTAGAAGAGGTCCAAAAATGTTAGCTACACAAGGTTCGTCTTCTGATATCATGAAAAACTCCATGGCTATCAGAAATAGTAATGGCAATTAACACGCTGTACAACTGCTTAACATAACACAGTGCTTAAACTTCTCCTCAAAGATTAACAATCCTTGTGTGTTCATTTTGGCTAACATCAACCAACCAACCAACCAATCAACTAGCCATGAGTGCACCTTCAGTTATGCTGCAGCTATCAATGAACAAGTCACAGTCTGCAGTGTCTGCATGGAAGTGTGTGTAGCTTAAATAAACGTATCCACCAATGGTAACAGACATTTAATAAAACCAATTTAAATATAAAAAAAGACACACTAAAAAATCACGGAAGAGGTTTTCCTGTAGAGAATACTGCTGTAAAATAAAATAGAACAATTGATAGGGTGGCGTTGGTAGTAACCATGACAACCAACCGTGTTCATAATGTGTGAACATTGCATTTAGTGGTCAAAGATCAAAGTTTGAAATTTCAAATAATTTTTTTTCACAGTATTTTAAATTATTAGATAACAATTTTAAGTTAGTGAAAAATTCCTGCATGTAAACATTGAATACTTCTGGTAAGAATTTGTTGCCGTTTACACTGCCTTTTGAAGTTTTTTTTTTTTTGTTTCTGTTTTTTTGAATAATTATGTGTAGCCAGTTGGTTTCTATACTCAGTGCAATATTGCCATGCACTCTGTACCTAGGGCTCTGTATATTGCCATGGACCATGTATTTTATTACATTTCAGATTTTCAAGTTGTCATAACTTTTTGCTCATTCAATGTAGAATCATTCATTTTCTTACAAAAAGATTTTGTTCAATTTGTTTGCAACTAAATATTTTGTTCTTGTTTTGGGGAAACAAATTGCTATACAACTGAGAATGGTAGAGACTCATTCAGATATTATAGAAATATTTGTTACACTATACATATGAAAATTCCAGATTTAAAAAAAAAGAAACTATTTATGCTTTGGTTATTTCCCTTTCCTGTGATACTGACAAAAAATGTGTTCTCGTGTCTAGTTTTGCTTTTTATGTGTGTTCATCTTTGTTCCAAAATAACAATTTCTTACTCAGTTCAGGCAAAAAAAAACTTTTTTAAAACTTGCTACGAATGAATGGCATCACTATTTATAATGAGGATTGTGCCATTGCAAAGCAAGAAACTGTGAAAATCATTGCCGCATCCTCAACAAGCTACATCTGAATTTATGTCACTATGGTGGCTAATTCCATATTGAAAGAGCTGAAATGTGTCAGTATGGTTTACATAATTCCTTATATGGAAATATGACTCATGTCACTATGGTGATCACCATACCTTATTTGGAGAGCTGAATTAGATAACAGTGACCTTGTGATCATTATTTGGAAATGTGAAGTAAGTCGCTATGGTGACATAATTGTATATTGAAGATTTGTATTAAGTCACGCTTATTGTTATTTAGAAATTTCTTTTTAATTGTGGTGACAGCCATCCATATTTGGAAATTCCTATCATGTCACTTCTGTTACGTTTTTTAAAATGCATATCATTATACTTTCATAACAATCAATTGTTATTTTGAAGACGTCTACATTAACTGCTATTTGCACGTATGTAAGAAAATGCCAATTGTTATATGTCAATTTTGCTGGAACAGTCATTTTAACTGCCGAGAGTTGAAATGCACAGATGTATAATTAATATAGAGTAAGAAGTTAAAATATTTTTTCCTTTATAGATTTAATGTTCTCTGTCTTGACTTGAATACGAATCTCTTACTATATGTTAGGAAGAGAACTTAAAACATGGGGCAACACTATATTCTAAAGTGAATTACAGTAATGACTCTTATTAGGGAGTGGGGGTATTACAATATTAGAATATTTAAATCAGGATTTGCTAAATTTTATTATATTATTTCTTCAACGGATATAACCTTAGTTTGTAACTGTGGCAAACTGACAAACAAAGTTAGTTGAAAACAAAACAAACTTCTTGAATAACTGCTAATAGATTCCTGCTGATTATGTATGATTTCAGCATTTCGGAACCCCCCAAAGGTACAATGCCATCCACACTTACGTGCATGTGTTTTCGATTTCACACACACACACACACACACACACACACACACACACATACACACACACACACACACACACACACACACACACACACACACACACACACACACACACACACACACACACACACACACACACACACACACACACACACATCTTCCATCACATAATTCAACCATAGTGTTGTTTTTGTTTTATTAATAATTGCATGATATGTATGTAATAAATATTTTTATTTATAAGTCATAATTTTAATATGTATTCCATTTCTGTATTAATGTATGTGTTTGTGTGTGTCTTCTTTTTTCTTCTACAGCAACAATTAAAGAAACAGAGAAAAACCTCCACGCCAAGAGATAGTGCATGTGAACCTAGCTTCCTTCCCGTCCAGTGCTTTTACCTTGTATGTGTAATCTGTGTTTAAAATCCAACGCTCTACCTCATCCTGCACCGCATGTAATCATCATCATTATCATCATCACCAGCACAGTCACCTCCTCCACCAGTACAGTACCCTTTGAGTAGCAGACTTAATTATCATTGATGTAGTAGGGATTCCTGTCACAATTGTACAACCATGAAATGTGCATGATGTATATATATATTATGCATTGAGCTTTCAATCAATGCTAACATGCATGTAGATAGGAGTGGATTTAACACCATCGTGTATTTCCTTGTTCAACCAACCAATCAGACATTCCCCCTGACCATGTTGATGATTCTTAAAAGCTTACAGGTGATGGGAGATGAAAGTTCCGTGGCTATTCTGCTCACCAGTCCCTCCACTTGGATAATAATCTTGATGTTGGATTTGTCCAAATGTTGCCACCAAACACATTCTGAAAAGCATTAAGGAGATTTTATCTTTATTTGATGTGAGCTGAACTGACAATCTAGTGTACTGATTTGCCACATGCAAGTAGAGGTTATCCAGTACCAATGTTGTGTGTGATTATTATATGGACGACTGTTTCAAAACAAGGTGTTAGCTTAGAGTATACAGGAACTTGACAACTATTTCAAAGCAAGGTGTTAGCTTAGAGTATACAGGAACTTGACAACTATTTCAAAGCAAGGTGTTGGCTTAGAGTATACAGGAACTTGATGATCATGAAAGAAATCCCAATGTCCCACTGCAAGATGTATGACTGCACTTTAACCATAAATATACCCTATTGCAGATAAACATCTGGAGTTATTTATAATATATGCTGCCAATATATTTACATTTTCATCAAAGCTATTTGAAAAAAATTATACAGCTGAATATTGATGTTAGAAAGAACACTCCAAATTTTATTCCATATCTGGAAAGTAAACATATTTTGAGTACATTTTCAGAGCTGCTGGTAACATATATATATATGTACATGTATAAAGCCCTGGTGCCAATCATATGGTTTGACCCATTTGGGAGGGGGTATATGGACAAGTGGTTGTGGTCAATACTAAATTTGTGCAGATGCCATGAGAATAATACTTATCATTTCCAAGATTGTTACTTAGATCATTTGTATGGTGAAATCGCAGTTCAATTTGATACATTGAAAACTTGTTTGACAATCAACCTGCTTTCTGATTGGTCCTTCTTAAATTGGGTAGCCAATCGGGTACATTCTAAAGTAGTTTCTTATTGACTTTGACTACTTACAATAAGTGACACTCCCTGCTAAACCTACTCAGTTGAATAATTGACCAACAAAACATCTGTTTTTTAACATATCCCAACCTTGCTTTTGTGTTTACTTTTTTTTGACAGAACTATATAGACTTCTATTTTGTTGTACAGTATTCTGAATATTAATAAAGATATATTAAATGTTTGCCACGGTTACGAAACGGGTGATATTGGCGCAAAAAAGAACAAAATCAAGATTTTTAGTTTTTAAATGAAATATTACACAACACTTCAAGTGAATGGAAAAGAAAATATAGAAATATGTTTTAATATATAGTGCAATTTTTAATCAAAAATGTCAGATTCTTGTACTTGACAGAGCTTTAGATGTTTACGTTTCTTAAAATCAGTGTGTATGATTGTTTTTTTTTTCCGTCAGTTGTATTTATGTCAAGTCAGTATCACCATTTCTTTTTTAATATATACCGTAGGATCCTACATTCTTTCTTTTAAAAGTTGTATCTTGAAATAAATGTACTTCACATGTAATGTTTGCGTCGTTCTTATTGTTGCTGGAAAGTAGATTGAAACAAGTCATTTGAAGATGACACAGCCCCCACTTGTCAGATGTGATTATAGTTGGCTATGAATTATAAAGTTTCAATGTATATGTATAAATCGGGTAGGAAGATTATGTTGAAAATCAACATTACAAGGCACATACCCTATATCGACATATCAAGTAAGTCTATACTAAGTATGGTATTATTTGGACTAATAATTCACAAGATGTTAACAATAATTAAAAATTAATTAAATATGAAAATGAGCCCATTAATTAAGTTGAAACTCAATATTGCATAGCACGCATCTTATATTGACAGATAAAGTCTAACAAGTTTGGTCTTATTTGGACTATTCACAAGATATTAACAAAAATTCATTAAATATGCAAATGAGCTTGTTAATTAAATTGAAACTCAATATTGCATAGCATATATTTTGTATTGACAAATCATGTCGCTACCAAGTTTGGTCTGATTTAGACTATTCACAAGATATTAACAAGAATTCAAATTAATAATTAAATAGGCAAATGAGCTCATTAATTGATTCCTTGAAGAAAATAAATCTATGTGCATCTGTACCAGTGGTCACTCTGTCTTTGTACCAAGTATCAGCAAAATCGGTCCAGGCATCTCAGAGAAATGATGATGGACACGCCCAAAAAACTGGATTTTACAGGATTTTGAGATTCAAAATGGCCGCCAGGCAGCCATATTGTAATTAAATGTAACAGGCAGTGTAAGAAAAAAAGATCAAAATAATTATTAGATTATTAAATCCCAAAATATTAAAAAACAAACTTGTATTAATAAAATTGGTTGCCCAGCATCTTCAAACACAGGCTGTCAAATTCATCTGAGATTTCTGATGATACATCAAATCAAGCACCAATGGTTTACGTAAAAACTAAGTACAGAAATACATGCTGAAAATGTTGCACAAGTAGAATAGTATCCAACCACTATGTATTTGTAATATGACAGAAGCCCACACCCTCCCCGTGGCTTTCGTTGCGTATGGAAGTTATTTTCACGAGTGATGCGGTGTATCCTGCGGCCGTACTTTCACGAGCAAAGCGAGTGAAAGTACAGCAGAATACACCGCATCTCGAGCATCTTGACACAGAGACTACTGCCACAGTTGTTCCAGATCCCCACACAGATCTCGATCTGGTTCTAAATCACCAAGAGGTTCAATGCACAGTGGTTCTCGGTCACAACCTTCAAAGTCTGGCTCCATACCAAAATCTATTTCAAGATCGCGTTCAAGATCTCCTTGACACTCCAACTAGTGACATTGATGTTAATACTGCTGTAAAGTACTGTAGTGGATAAGGATTTGCAGTCTTCAACCAGAAATCTATATATAACCTTGACAAGTAGACCAAATTTATTAAAAGGTTAAGATCACTTTAAATATTTTTTGTAAGGGTGATATTTTAGTGTTGCTTTAG